CTCAGATCGTTCAAATCGTTCAAATCGCGCTTGAGGTGCCGCAGCACTTCCCGACGCTGATTAAAGCGCGTCCACCGTAGACTTTGCATGTAAACCTGCTGCTCCTGATGCTGAAATCGCGTTTGGTGTGAACGCAGCATTGGTGTTTTCTGTTGTTGTCTTGTACTGTCTATTGTTCTATCGTCCTATAGCTCTGCAAAGATTTAACTGTGTTCATACACTTTGGTGTGTGTCGAGGACAAGACCTACCTCGATAAGACTTGAATGCTAAATGTAAGAAACAAAGCCATATAAATACCAATGGCCGAGTCAAACCTACAACCATGTCGAAAATGCGGGTTTGGCCCAGAACCAGGAAATGCCAACTTATTTAAAACATCATCTTCAGAATCTAGCCCCACCTTAAAAATTACACCAGTGAGGGGGCGTTTTCCTTAACAGAGAGGCCAGATTCTCAAACACATAATCTATATCTTATAAAAAAACATATGTGTGGTGGGTGCATTTTAATTCATGCGTTAACTAAACAGCTAATCACTCAAAATTWWTTATCAAAACATTTCAGAATCACCTCTAAAAACAAACCAKTATGTGTTTTTYAAGAATSAGTACTAAACAAACCAAYCCCAATAAATTTCTTCAGCTCTGAGTTTTGGTCTGTCCAATGAGTGCTATCAGACAAATCCTTTTTATGCTGACAGAGCAACTCCCAGCTGCAGTAGATCGTGTTAACAAATTGTGGTCTTGTCAAGTTAAAGACATATTAAAACATTTAACACCACTTAATTAATGATTTAGGTGTATGTATGTACAATTTTGTCTGTGTGCAGATTAGCGGAAACTTACAATAATTTCAAGATTGTGCACCCAACTCTGATTTTAAAAAATGGAAGTTGTAATCATTCCTCCCTGGGAAAAGAAAAGTTCAAATGTATCATTAAAAACTTGAATCTATCTGACTTTCATGCTCATGAGTGGATTTAAACATTCGTATGACTAGAAATGCCAAACTGCTCTTCCATCCTGTTAAGGGGTGTAAAATGAGCGCAACCAAATCACTTTAACTTAAATATCACAAAGATGTCCACATGTCCTAAGTTGTTGACGTAATGAGTTTAAGTTTCAGATCGTTAGGCCACAGTTTCGTTTCAAATGTCCTGATGCATCTCAGTAATCCAGGTAAAAAGTCAAAAAGAAAAAAATTTGTATAGGTCTTCTGGACGGGTTCACCTCTAATGAAATGTTTCGTCTCTCCTCCAAGAGACTTCTTCAGTCTGAGAGTTTCAGGCAAAATTCAGGCTTTTAAGCACTGCCTCCATGTGACTGATACTCACATCACATG